TGTGTTCTCATTTCCTTCCGAGGACCAAACCCTTTCCGGTCTTGTATACGGTCGCAGCAGGCCTTCTAGTTCTCTCTTGGCCCTTCATTTTTAATCCCTTTAGTGTCTACCTCTTTGTAGAATGTTGTTGTCCGTTACACTTATACTAATCAAATCCATCATGATTTTGCATGTGTTTTTAAATGGTGTCCAGGATATAGAAAGGGAGTGGCGGAGGAGCGAGAATCCAGAAGCTATGGACGAAGATGATGCCGATGAAGTTGCAGAAATCAAAGCGGTTCACTTTGAGGAGTCGATGAAGTTTGCTCGGAGGAGCGTCAGTGATGCAGATATTCGAAAATATCAGGCTTTCGCTCAGACTTTGCAGCAGTCTAGGGGATTTGGAAGCGAGTTCCGGTTCCCTGGCCGAGCAGAGGCTGGGACTGCTGGCACTGACCACCCATTTGCCACATCAGGTGCTGGAGCTGACGATGATGATCTATATAATTAGTTTGTAGGACACGGTTCATATTCTGTGCTAATATTTCTCCTCGACTCGATACTCATCATGGTACCTAGTTGGTTAAGTAATTGTTCCTAAGCTATAGACGAGGGACGGAAATCTGAGATGGAAAGATTATGATGTGATGCCACACTGCGTGTCCATCGTTGTCTATCGGAATTTGCTTTTGTAGCTTCCTTTGATGCATCTATCTATCTGTCGCTCGAAATGCTTTCCCAGTTTCCAACAGTAACAGCCTGCCTCTTTGTATGTGTCATATGATTTTGTGCAGTTAGAATCCGAGTCGAATGAGTTGATAGTCTCAGAATCTGATACATTTCCAGGTATGATTGTGCTGGTATCATCCAGATCATGTTCTTATTATGCTTTGCATGAGTGTGCGATTTTATTGCCTGTCATATTCTTTTGGGTCAGTCCAAATCTAATCAGCTATCTATTCATGCGCTCTCTCCGATCCTCTAGTTTCTTCTAGATCATGTACGAACGAATCGCTTCTGCTCGACCTTTTTCATCCCAAGATATGAGTTAAATACTGAATTATTATAAATCATGGGTGCAAAGAGACTAAACTTGAGAGTTTGATAAATCATTTACATTCAGATCAAAGTGGATGTTAAAAATATATATACATATAATCAATAAAAAATTAATAATAATTTTTAGACACTGCAAGGAGGATTTAACAGGCAAAATTCCATGCAATAATAATTGGCGTGTCCGTTGCAACACACTGAGCTAATGATAACGATGGTGATGGGTGAGTGCAAAAGTCAAAGAGGATATGCTCGTGCCCCATTTGGCTCCTGTAATCGTATCGTGTTGAGCATTCACATCCCCTTTAATTTAATAATATTGTAAGTAGCATGCAAATGTCGTCAAGTGTTTTCGATATTATTATTATTATTCATTCATACTACAATATACACACAGGTTTGTTTCTCCCTTTTTGTGTTTTCGATACTTTGCATATACTCATTCATTCCATCACGATAGCTGGTCAGCTTCCTAAACTGGACGTGAGATTGATGAGCTCAAAAACTCGGATAATCGAATGGAATTTGTGGCCATCTAATCTCCTTAGCTTTAAGCAAGAATGTATGTGGTACTCGCTGATCATGCTTACGATAACTCGATTAGTTAATTAGATTGTATCTATCTATCTATCTATCTATCTATCTATCTATCTATCTATCTCTTTCCATAGTTTCTTTTAGTCGGATTCAAAAATAGATATGGTCTTTATTAATCAGATTTGAGAAAAAAAAAAAAGTAAAATAGGTAGGTAGTCAGTTGTATGAAATCCATGAACAGCTAGCTATTAATCAGATTCGAGGATAGAAAGGATGAAATCGGAGGTGCATGCCCCCTGGCGAGCGTTGGTTCTCGTAGAGCGTCCCCTACGAGAGTAGGCCCTGGAGATGATGAGAAAGAAAGAAAAGAAAAAGGATGCTTGTTGAAGCGTCTTCTAGAGGCGAGGCGGGGCGGTGCGGTGCGGTTGGGAATCTGATGGGACTGCCGCCATCTTTCTCCTCCCTCCGGCCCTGCACACCAACTCCTCGTCCGCCCGGCACTTGGGCACTTTCGAACGTGCCTGCCTTCTCCCCCGGCCCCCTCCCCCCCCTCCTCTTATCGTGAAAGCCTCTTCTACTTTTTTGTCCTTCACTTATTGGATCATATTATCTCAGTCAGAGGAGTTGCTGAAGTCGATCGACACATGTGATTTTAATTAGGATTTTCTGGGGATATTTCGTCGATAATAGCGCCATCACCACCATAACAAGAGTGGTTTTTGAGCGTATATATACTCTCACTCACGTACGTACCATCAACAACACCCCCCATTGCTATACTGAAATGACTCCACCGGAGACTATTCTTTTTCTTCGTATTTATCTGAAAATTTCTTCACGACAATACAAAAAAATTGATCCATCTCACTAATTTATTTATTTATTTTTTGGGTACCAAAGTTACTTTGAGAATAAGAATTTAAATATGGAAACAGGAGCTCTTTCAAATGGGACGACTATATATTATACGCTCGGGTTTATGAGAAAATTGTGATGCATGAACTAACTCAACAGATTGTTTTCTTTCTTTCTTTCTTTCTTTCTTTTATATATATATATATATATATATATATATATATTCTTATATAAAATTTTCTCTTTCGTTGATGTATGCAAAGAGTATAGAACCGTATAGATAGACTCTATGCTCGTTTTGCTGGATTTGTTTTCTAATAATTGAATCGGATGATGATCCATTTATGATCAATATTCAAAATCAAAACTTTTGATCATATCGAAGGTGGACAGTGCATCAGCTCATCGATCACAAAAGCCATTATATAATGGGAAGTCGATCATGCTAGTTAGAGACCAATGCATCACCATGTCTTTTAGGCTATACTATCGTTAGAAAGACTAGTTTTGTCATTAAAATTATCTCCTCTCGTCCGACTCAAAGATTGAAAAATATGACCTCATTGGATTTCACATTCGTTAGGGTCCCAAAGCTACTGGAATATTAATTAGACCCTTTTTTTATTTAGATAAGGAGCTAGCTTAGGAGAGCTAGGATCTCTTTACAAAAAGTGATAAAGTATTTTATTGATTTAAGATATGAGTTTTCGATAAATTGATTAGATAGAGCTTTAGTTAATTTAAATTAGAGATAAAAAAATTATCATATTTGTTTAAGTCGTGATTTAATCAAAGTCCAAGATTATTTTGAGAAGTTCATTATAGTTTTTCTTTTTATTTTTTTTTCTTCTTTGTTTTAGATCCTAAGCTAGTAGTACTCTATTATTATTATTATTATTATTATTATTAGAGAAAGGATTATGCTAAATATATGATTCTCCCTATTCTCACATGAGGTTCAGAGATTGAAATAGGATAGATAATTAACGAATAAAAGTCTTTTATTACGAAACCTCTCTATCTGTAACTCTTTTGTCACGTATGATTTAACAATATCTACCATCTTTCTTTCTCGAGAAATATTACGATAGGGGCTCATCATATAATGTGCTTCTCTCAAAGGCAATTTTTTTTTTTACTTTTAATTCGTTTTACAAGCGGTCGGGATTGATGAGAAAATTATGAAGAATCATTCCAAATAAGAAGAACTGCATGCAGGACTAAGTAACACAAAATGTGGCATCCCATATTACTGAGCCATAAAAAATATGATTAAGTTGCATAAGTATTCTCAATATCAAATTTTAATTTTAGATTTATGAATAGTCTTTTTATGTTTATACTAATTTTCCCTAGATGTGCTTAACATAACTATGTAATTTGCGTATCACAGAATCACTAATCTATTGCCTACATTATGTAAGAAATAGGATTATATATATATCTATAGAGAGAGAGAGAGAGAGAGAGAGAGAGAGAGAGAGAGTATCTTATGATGATGAGCTTGAAAAACTTTAAAGACAAATGACATGTTGATGCAAGTACATGAATATGCGTCCATAAGTATAAATTTATTTTAATTTAGGTCTTTACTGATTGATGATTAAGTGCGAAAAAGTAGTAGTAGTAGTAGTAGTAGAGTGCCGAGTGTCCTTTGGGGGGAGTACAACGATAGCCCGTATCGACGGGATGACATCCTAATATATTATTTTTCTTATCAAAAAAATAAATAATGTGATCCATACATACATAAACACAAATCTACCACTTGTGATCTTTATTACAACATGTACGAGCAAGGTTTGGATTGAATCCTTGAAAGAACTCCTCTCCATACATGAATGAATCCTGAAAACCCATTTGAATTGCACTAACATGAATGTTCAGAAGCTTGAGTTTTTGATCCAAGGGGAATTCAGATCCTCTCCTGCATGATTGAGAGATGTATACATTGTTGCCCTAGTTTGCTGAATCCAATCAAATATCTTGGGCTAAATTTGTAGTCTTTATATGTGGCATCAACCCCTGGATCAAGAACATCGAGGTTACAGTGATCAGAACACACAAAAACCAAAGGTTCAAGCGTCTCTGTCCATGGAGGAGGAGGAAGAGGAGGAAGAGAATCTACATAAGATCACAGGAAGCTGGATTCCTGCTGCAGAACCAGGAGTGTGTTCTCCCAGCATCAAACAGCGAGCTTGAACAAGGATGGAGTACATAACTGGTGGTTTCGGTGCAAGGAACAAGGATGGAAGTCCGATATCGGAACCATGCATGAGTAGGAGAGAGCATGGCGGCTTCATGGTAGGTCGGTTGGTTCGTAATCTTCTTCCTTGTTGGACCGTTCTTTGTGTTCTTGTGCTTCCCCACCCTTGTTCACGATATGTTGTTTGTGAGATTATGCTGAAGCCAACAACAACTGAGCCGGAAAGAGGGTGAATGAAACCCTTGGGAGTTGTGATGGCATGACTGGTGGCCTGAAAGCATGGAAACGGCGGAACGGATGTGCTTCTTCTGTATATGCATGCATCAGAGGTATCGGATACTGTTCATATCAGTTTCTTGTTGGTGCGAAGACGATCGCTGACACAAAGAGTGGAGTAGTAAGAGATTTCCATGTCCCCAAACATCAGCCTAGTTACATACAAGTATTACAGCCTTGGCTTATTCTGTGCCTGCGACGACGCCGCGCTCGATCGTCACTTCTTCTTGCAGCCCTTCTCCTTCTCGGCGAACTCGAGCATCTCGTCGAGCACCTTGTCGTCCAAGCACTCCAGCTCGATGACCTGCTTGCCGCCGCCGCGCGACGAGCCGGCGGCGTAGGCGCGGGCGTCGGCGGGGAAGTTGAGCACCGCGAGGGATCCCCGCATGGACAAGGCGGCCCGATCGTACGCCCGCGCGGCCTCCTCCGCGGTGTCGAACGTGCCCAGCCACACGCGAGCGCCGTGCTGCGTCGAGTCGCGGATCTCCGCCGCGTACTTCCCCCACGGCCGGCGCCGCACCCCGCGGTACCGCGTCTGCTCGCCGTCCTTGTCTCCCCCTCCTGCTGCTCCCGAGTCCGCCATGGGAGTCGATAGCCACTAGTGCAGCTCGCTTACTCCTCGTCCCCCCGCGCCAGGGATTTAACCCCGGTGGCGCGATTCTCCATGTGCGATGAGGAGAAAGGAAAGAGGGAATAGAATTGGATTTGGTCTCACGACCCATTTGTTTACTCCAAATTCTCTCATTAGTTTAATGAAGCAAGCTCGTACGTCGACGCTGGAGCAGGGCTCGGTTCACGCACTGCCATGGCCAGTACCTAGCAAGGCAATTCGTCAAACACTAATGTGAGAGAGAGAGAGAGAGAGAGAGAGAGAGAGTTGCCCCTTGGCCTCGTGAGGTCACGGAGATGACGCAGAGAACACTCGATTTGCTGATGTCCGTGTTACCATGTTCCCTGCAAAAGCGATACTAATCCTCCAATATATACACAAAGAAACCAAAGGAATGGAGATTAAATTATATATATATATATATATATATATATATATATATATATATATTATAGTAGGATATCTTATCTTATTCCCTAAAATTTTCGTTACATAGTCAGAACACAAGATGCCAACATTTCGACAGAAATTATAATTAATTGTGTAGCTCAAAGGGACACTAATTTAAAGTGGGATGCATAATGTAACTTTCTTTTGTTTTTCTTTGTCTTTTTTTGTTTGTTTGTTTGTTTGTTTCTTTTTGTGTGTGTGGTGTTGAGGATGTCCTTTCGTTTCTTCTCAAGTGCAGTTACAGATGACAGCATTTTACATTATAATATATATATAAATATAAAAATACTTACTATAATCAAAAGATAAGATGATTAGTAGTAGATGGGATGGGATGGGATGGGATAGAAGGATACCATAAATAGGAATCTAAATTATTTTTAATCAAGCAGACAACCGTTTACAAAGCTCAATCAATCCCAAATAATTAGAATTTTAGGGTTTATTTATTTGTCATGATTAAAATATTAAATATTATTGCTCAGAGAGTTTTAGGGGAGACGTATGCATGCATGTTATGCTATGATAAAATCATTTAGTCTCATATTGATTGAGTATGAGAACTAAGAGCTCATAAGTCTGTCAGATCTTTCTTATCCTCAAAATATTTTTTGAAACTTATCACAAACACGGAGGTTCGACGATCGATCATCCATCCATCCATCCATCATGATGTGTTGCAATTGAGTTGGAATTCTTACTGCGATCATTATTGGTCAACCAAGTGACGACAAATAATAAATGATCATCCAGCCGCGGAAGGCCATTGCCATCTTCTTCTCCGCCTCCACCTTCCAAACACTCCCAGCATTCCCCTCCCTGCTTCAAGCATGCCGCTCGCTCGAGGACCTCCAGTCCGTGCACGCCACCATGCTCAAGCGCCGCGCTCTTCGCGACTCCTTCTTGATCAACCAGTTCCTCGCCGCATGCTCTCGGCTGCACCTCATCGATTATGCCCTCCGGGCCTTCGTCCAAATGTCTGACCCGAACGTCTTCGTCTACAATGCCGTCGTGGGTGGCCTCCTTCGGCAGTCTGAATCGTCCACGGCCCTCGAGTTGTACGTTGGCATGTTGAGGTCCGACGTGCTCCCTGATGGATGTACTTTCTCGCACATAGTTAAGGCTTGTGCTCGGTCATCGGCTACTGAGCTCGGCCAAGCAGTTCATGGACAGATCGTGAAAATGGGCTTCGGAACCCACCTCTTACTCCAGACTGCACTCACGGACTTTTACTCCAGTTCCGACAAGATTAACGAATCGAGCAGGTTGTTCGACGAAATGTCTGAGAGAGATGTTGTCTCGTGGACGGTGATGATTCTGGGCCATGCCCGTCTTGGCGACTTGGCCTCGGCCAGGAGGCTCTTTGACGAAATGCCCGATAGAAGCATAGTCTCATGGAATACATTGATCGCTGGGTATGGAAGGTCAGGGGATGTTGAGTCTGCCGTTTCTCTGTTCGACGAGATGCCCGAGAAGAGCTTGGTCTCATGGACCACGATGATCTCTTGTTACTCCCAGAACAGGCGGTACAAAGAGGCAATAAAAACCTTTCACAGTATGAAGGCCGCAGGAGTCAGACCTGACCGAGTGGCGATGGCTACCGTGATCTCAGCCTGTGCTCATCTCGGAGCTCTCGACTTGGGGAGAGAATTGCACCTATATGTGATGCTCGATGGGTTTGATCTTGGTGTACACTTGGGATCAGCACTGATTGATATGTATGCAAAATGCGGGAGTGCAGAGAGAGCACTGGTTATCTTTTACAAGCTGGAAGAGAAGAACATATTCTGTTGGAATTCGGTCATCCAAGGGCTAGCGATCCATGGATGCGGGAGGGGTGCGATAACCATGTTCCACAAGATGAATGAGGAAGGCAAAACTCAACCGAATGGTATCACTTTCGTCAGCATTCTCAGCGCGTGCAATCATGCAGGGCTGGTGGAAGAATCACGAATGATGTTTTCCAGCATGATCAAGAACTACTTAATACGTCCTGAGCGGGAGCATTACGGATGCATGGTCGATCTTCTAGGGCGTGCTGGCCACTTAGTAGAAGCATTGAATTTGATCGGGAGCATGCCAATGGCACCCAACGCCGCAATCTGGTCAGCTTTACTTTCTGGTTGTAGAATACATCGAAACATGGAGGTAGCTGAGATTGCTGCAGAGAAGCTGCTTGTACTGGAACCAGAGCACAGTGCACATTATATGCTTCTGGTTAACATGCATGCTGAAGCTAAAGCATGGGAGAAGGTTGGGACGGTGAGGGGGATGTTGGAGGAGAAGGGAGTGCAGAAGAGGGCACCTGGGTGCAGCTGGATTGAGATTGATGGGGTGGTGCAAGAGTTTGCTGCTTGTGATATGATTCATCTCTCATCGGAGATTTGCTCGGTGCTGCATGAGTTGGATGGACAGCTGAAACTTGCAGGGTGTTCGCTAGAGTTGGGCATTAGTTCAATGCTGTGACTTTATGTGCAAAAGCACAAAGGATGTATGTTGTGTATACAGATTTGTTTGCAAACACATAGTGATTCAGTAGCCCTTTGTGTTGTTTGAAGTGAAATTAGCACTTGTTGGTGTTGTTGGCAGCTGCAGTTCACAGGATGTGTGTTCACCAGAGTTGGACATTAGTTTAATGCTGAGATTTTTATGTGCGAAAGCTCAAAGGAGGCATGTTAGTGTGCAAATTTGTTTGCAAACACTAAAGTGATTTAGCAGCACAATGTATTGTTTGGAGTGCGACTTTCATGTGAGAAATGTTTAGCAGGGGTGAAAGTGACTTTCAGGGTTCACCAGAGTTGGGCATCGCTCCATTGCTGACTTTCATGTGAGAAATGTTTGTGTATGCAGATTTGTTTGCAAAGACTGAAGTGATTAGCAGAGCTGAAAGTTGCAGTATGTTCACAAGAGTTGGGAATTATTCTGTGATCTCCATTTGCAAAAGCGCAAAGGATGTAATTGTTTACTAAGACTAAAAGTGATTTAGCTGCACATTGTATTATTTGAAGTGCAATTTGTGCAAGAAATACTTCTTGGTATTCTGACCAGCTGAAACTTGCAGGTTGTTATTAGTTCAACGCTGTGACATTCAAGTGCAAAAGCACAAAGGAGAAATGTTGCGTCTACAAGCTTGTTTGCAAAGACTCAAATTGATTTAGCAGCACATTTGTCTTGTCTGAATTGCAATTTGTGCAAGTAATACTTTCTTGGTGTTATAGGAAGCTGAAACTTGCAGGGTTTCTTAATTCAATGTTGTGACTTCCATGTATAAAATGCCAAAGGCGAAATAATGTTGTGTATACAAAGTTTGTTTACAAAGACGAATGATTTACCGGCACATTGTTTTGTTTAAAGTGCAGTTTGTGCAATTAATTCTTTGTGTTATGCTAATCCACCCTATTATGAGTTTAAATTATATTGTGTCAGATTAAACTTTGCTTAAGATGTAAAATATTATTTGTTTGTGAGAATAAAAAAATTGATTAAAAAAGAAATACAGTAACAGTGAGCTAGCCCAAACAATTTGATCATTTTTGCAAGATTACATCTTAGTTATCCACATCTGTAAGTTGTAATAACCCAACTATTAGGAATTCATTATAAGAGCCATATCCTATTATTTAGCTTTCTTAAAGGTAACATCATAAGAATAAGTAATCTATTGTTTTTTCTTATTACCATTGAAGTTTTTTTTAGATCTTCCTGTATCCGAAACCAATTACTTTGCTTTTACATCCACCAATAAATTGTCTATTGGAGCAATATGGAATTTGCACTATTGTTTTAGTTAACAGAAATAAATGTAATATTTGGTACAATAGCACTGGCCTCCATGGCAGATGGTAGGAAAGAGAGAAAGATATAGGAGGGAGGGGGAACAAGCAATGTAGGATTTGCAACCATTTATCGATAAAAAAATTAAAATAAAAATTGAATGATTAATAAGAGAGAAATTAACATTGAAAAAAATATAATCAGATAAATTTGTAATGGAGGATTTGAAGTATTTTAACCATTTATTGTATCAAATTGATTCAAAAAATTAAAATAAAATTGGATGATATAAGAGAAAAATTAACATTGAAAAAAAAATAATCAAATAAATTTTTAAGGGAGGGATGTCCTCCGACAAAAAATGTGCACATCTTGACTTGACTTGGCGAACCACGTCACGTCATACTCTGAAGCAATCCAAGCCGTAAGAAGAGAAAACGTATGGCTGAGATTTGAGGGGAGTGCGAAGGTTCGACGACACAAGTTAGACGTGGCGCCGCTCGATCGCTGCACTTTTACTCCCTCTTCAAACCCTCAGCCGCGGGGCAATGGCGGCGGCCTACGGCTGGTGAGCGGCCGCTGCGGCTGGGAGCCTGCGTTTCTTAGGTCTTCTTTTCTCTTCTCCCCGTTCAAGTGATGCCCCCAAACCGCTGCTTTCGATTCACATCGTCAGCGTGGAATCAGGTTTTTGCCTACGGTGTTCTCTCTACTAACACCTCTCTAGGTTCTCGCTGTTAAATCTCGTCCGAGTGCACGATAGAAGTGCCTTCTGTCGCTCTTTCTTTGCTTCCGATTGTGTTTTTCATTCAAGCTTGATGGGTGTTTGTTCGATTGCCCGAGTGAAAGGTTTTGGAGGCCTGGTCTATGAGTAGAAACGGGTTAGTACTTTTCCATGGCGTCTTTGTTGAAAAAATTCGATCTTGGAGGCCCTACTCTTCCGCCTTGGCATTGTCGTCGTGTCTTCATGACCAATTCTTTTCCTCAGAGCAACTCTTAGAATTGGCCGCCATCGGTGAGAGCAAGAAAAAATCTGAATTTTACAACAATAGAGGTCGGAGTATTTTTCCCTTCGTCTCCTTTGTAGTGAGTACTTTGAACTGGGAAGTGGCGAGGAAGATGAGCTTCTCCATAGCAGTGAACAGGTTTGGCTTATCCCAATCGTTGGAATCATTTGCAGTGCTAATCCATACGTTCTTGTCAGCTGGGATGCATAAGGAGGTCAAGCATTTGCTTCGAGATATAGCAGAATACAATAGGAATGTTGGCTCCAACATGCTCGAATTGCTTTCACCATTAGTAAGTCTTTTGGATGGTGCCATGAGATCACAAGCGTATGAATCTTTAATATATATATTTGCAGAGGCCTCGATGTTTGAAGATGCCCTTGAGACATTTTTAGAGGCTAAGCAAGTTGCACTACAACTCTCTATTCAGTCATGCAATTTCTTGCTTCAATGTTTGGTTGAGAGGAAGATGATAGGGTATGCTAGAAGCTTATTTCAGGCCTTGAAGAATTCGGGCCCTTCTCCCAATGTCTACACTTACTCTATCATGATGGGTTTATATGCTACAGGGGACGTCTTATATTTGGATGAAGCTAAGGAGATTCTTTTGGATATGGAAAAGGTAGGAGTGAGGCCAAATGCAGTGACTTATGCTACTTACATTCGTGGACTTTGTAGCGCCGGGTTTGTGGAGCCTGCGTTGGGCTTTCTACAGGACTTGCTGCACAAATGTCTCCCATTGAATGCTTATTGTTTCAATGCTGTTATTCATGGTTTTTGCCAGGAAGGACGGCCCTTAGAGTCACTGAAGGTTTTAGATGAAATGAAAGGATGTGGATTCCCACCTGATGTGCACAGCTATTCAATACTAATAGATGGGTTTTGCAAGCAAGGTGATGTTTCGAAGGGCTACGATTTGATTGTTGAAATGGTAAACTGTGGAACTATGCCCACCATGGTTAGTTATAGCTCACTCTTATATGGAATATGTAGGATAGGAGAAGTGAACGTGGCACTAAATTTGTTCCATGAGCTTAGGCGTCAAGGTTACAGGCATGACCAAATCTCTTATAGCATTCTTCTTGACGGGTACTGTCAGCATGGGGATCTGGATGGTGCTTGTGCTCTTTGGGAGGATATGATCAAAAATAATTTTGTTCCTGATGTTTATAACTATACCAGCCTTATTCATGGCTTCTGTAGACATGGACATTTGAAGGAAGCTTTAGCACAATTCCAAGTTATGATTAAAACAGGGATAATGCCGAATATTGTTACTTGCACTGTCCTAGTTGATGGATTCTTCAGAGAGAATTACGTTGACCAAGCTTTAATGTTCTTGAATGAAGTTCGTGGCATGGGAATCACCCCCAACTTGTGCATGTACGGAGTCATCATCAATGGCTTGTGCAAAGGGCGGATGTTTGAAAAGGCTTGGGTAGTTTTTGGAGATATGATAAAGAGAGGGCTTCGCCCTGATGTTGTTATTTATAGTACCCTTGTTGAAGGTTTTGCCAAAATGTTAAACATGGAAGAAGCTTTTAAGGTGTATGCTAAAATGTCAAAGCAGGGTGTCACACCCAACATATTTACATATACAAGCCTCATAAATGGGCTCTGCAATGATGGGAGGATGCCTGAAGCTTTGAATTTGTTTGAGGAAATGGTTCAACGGGGCGTGATGCCTGACAGGATTGCATTCACGTCACTGATTGCTAATTTCTGTAAATGTAAGAATATGAATAAGGCTTTGGAATGGTTTAATAAAATGATGCAGAGTGGTTTGCCTCCAGATGTGTTTACATATACCTGTCTTATATATGGATATAGCAAGTTGCTTTCGATGGACATTGCAGTTTCACTGATGGATGAAATGTTAAGAATTGGTCTAAGACCTAATTTAGTAACTTATACGGCTTTAATTTCTGGTTATTGCAAGATTGGAGAAAGAAAAAAAGCTTATGAGTTGTATAACATAATGCTAAACCAAGGTATATTACCAGATATGTTGGCTTGTCGTTCACTTGGTTTAGATTGTTGGGAGGAGAAAATTTGAAAGCAGCATTTGCACAATTATGATTTTCAACGGCCACTAACTGGTCACCTTCGTCTCTGGCTGCTATACCCCTGGTAAGCAAGGTAAGAGTTGTAAATAGCTGTCATTTCTCTTGAGCTTGTCGAGATCACAACCGGAGCCATAAGGTCCTCCATTATTTCAGATTTGGTGTGGTAAATATGTTTGATGACCTAGGCATAGCTCTAGGTAGATCTTTTGGTTCACAACCATGGACAGCATAGAGGCATGACTAAATTGAAATAAAGAATGAAACTTCCTTTTGAGAACTCTTTTCTTTGGGAGACAGTTCTTATCAGTGAATACCAGTCAAAATTACTTAAAACTATATTTTGTGGATGTGTTTAATATTTCAGCCCTGTGTTCTCTTATACTCCTTAATTTGCAGGGACTATTGGGGAGCTGAATGAAGAATCCATATGCAGAGTTACCCCCATCTCTCTCACACTTCTCTCTTACTGCCAATTTGATGATTGTGGATGATGCCAAACATGTATCCCCATCTGAATGAAGAAGAAATCATAAGAAGGTAAGAAGAAATCATCAGACTTGAATTTATATGGATTTTAACTAGTCTTTCTCTTTTATTGATCAGGTAATCATGAGATGACTGTATAAGTTGAAGTTCTTCTGTCATGCTCGCCAGAAGACTTTACACTTTTCCCTTAGCGTGTCCTTTTGATCATCTCTGCATTCAAACAGCCAGAAATCGACCTCTAAGACTTTGGCCTCCATTCATCATCCATACAAGTGACCTGATGTTGTGAGGCCTTGATGGAGACACGGCTAATCAGATTGTTAATTGAGACGTTAGCAGATTGATTTTGCTGGAGGAGGCTGGCTTCTGGTACGGTGTCATCACGGCTCCCCCAGGACCACATACTAGATTTCTGGATTCTCGGAACTCTGAATTTGGAAATGTGATCTTCATGATATCAAAGAACAGCAGGACCTGGTGCTTCTCTGCTTCACATCTTACCTGCATTAGGAGGAGAAAACAATCAGACCATTGTCCACAACGCTTAATGGGATTTAGCTGGAAATGTGATCTTCATGATATCAAAGAACAGCAGGACCTGGAGCTTCTCTGCTTCACATCTCACCTGCATTAGGTGGAGAAAACAATCAGACCATTGTCCACAACGCCTCATGGGATTTAGTTTCTCCATTTTATTTTTTAAGATATTAGTTTCCTATAATTGTATGATTTCGTTTCTCCATTTATCAAATTTGTACTCTTGTAAATTATATAAGTTCCTCAATCAAATAAAGAAGAAGAATTCCTTTATAAGAGTATCTGATATAAGGCTAAAAGTTATTTTCTTCATTGCCCAAAACAATCTTTCTTCCTCTGTTCAATGGTATGCATGTTTATATCTACAGTAAAAGAGATTTGGGAGACAGTGAAATACATTTTCAAATGTCAAAGATGTTACTCACATTTAAGAGATTAAAACAAAGGATTGTAGCTTCATCTTGATTATTCCCAAGATGTTAAGATGAAGTGTAGCGAAGGTAATTGTTGAAAAAGAGAAGTTTTTTTAACTTTTTAGCTGGGCTTAACATAGATTATGATAAGCATGTATTTAAATATATGAAATCATTTGCCAAACTCTTCTGGGAGCATATTTTATTTATAAAAAAAAGAGAAATATTATTTTGTACAAATAAATAAAATTTATTCTTAGGATATGGAGTAGACGGTTCCATTTGATAAGCTATCATAGAATGACAAAAACCGAAGATGCTAGCTAAGATTTTTCCTTGATTTTATCAATTATTATCGATGTTTCATTTTGAAATACTCGAAACATGTAACTCGACTTATGAAGTTGTTAAAGAAATAATAGTCTTGACGATGGTTAGAAATGTATGAACCTTTTAAAATTTATATTAATGCTTTATATTTTACTATTGAAAGAATTATTATAAAGAGAGTCACCTAATGGTTTACGAGAGCTATAAGCTCAATAAGATTAAGTTATAATATCCTGTGCGTAAGAAGAAGATGACATTAGTGGTTTACAGTATTTGAGTATAGAGACTTTAACTTTTCAAAACGTGATTTGTGTTGATGATGATCACATTAAGTTATTTTTAGACTCAGAAAAAACTCTCTCTAAAATATATAAGATGGAAGGACATTCTAATTAAATTTGATATGGTAATGAAGTATAAGCTCAAACGAGTAAATATTATAGTCAATGCCTTGAGCAAAAATGTTGAGTTAGGTGAATGCAATGCAACTAGTAGGCAAAGACCATACGAGTTAGTTACAATCCCAATTTTTTTCTAAGATCAACGACTAACTATACAATGATCTCTAAGTATAACCCTAATACAACTGATTAAAGAGGGTAAGGTATAATGATTTTGAGTCCAAGTGAAGTAATAAAAGCTAGTGGATTTTTTTTGGAGATCTTGCTTATACTAGAGAGGTCATGTGGGAATATTTCTTTAAATTTCATATTAAACTTACCAAAAAGTGGATCAAATATCCTTACCGTCTCAACTAGCTCGGGCACAAAGATCCACTTGCCCTAAATGTGAAAAGTATCATATGAGAGAATGTCTTAAAGGTAAATGGTTATGTTTTCGATGTAGAAAGCCAGAACATTTAGCAAGAAACTATATATCAATCTCATCAGAATAGAAAAGAATATTAGGCAAACTGTTTGCGATGACTAAGACAAAAGTAGAGGTTAGCCTCTAAGTTCTCTTGGGTGAGATATTTATTTATGATATTTTCTTACATACATTAATTGATTCTAACACAATATATTTTTTTGAATAATTAGCTTATATGGAGAAACTATGTGATGTATTACATAGTTATTCCACTAAAGGATATAATATATTTACGTTAAGAATTGAGATTTTATCTAATTCAAATTGTTGACAAAGAATTAATTGTAAATATGATAATATTGAATATATAAGATTTTGATATTATACTAAGTATGAATTGGTTATCTAAACATCATATTTTTATTGATTGTAACAAAAAAAAAAGAATAGTATTTCAACCTCTAGAGTATATAGAGTTTCTTTTTGTTGATTCTAAAGAGAAAACATCAATCCACTTTATCTCGATAATAAAAGCAATGAGACTTTTAAATGGTAGATGCATAAGATATCGATTGACACTAGAGTGGAATCGAAAGTCAAGCTAAAGGATATGTCCAGTTATAAGTAAATTTTTTTAGATCTTTCTAAGGAATCTCTTTATATGATCAGATAGATTAAATTTGTCATAGACTTAATGTGGGGTATTGAACGTATTTCCAAAGTATCTTATAGAAAAACTCGAATTGAAAGAGTTAAAGATACAGAGCTCCTTAATCAAGAGTTCATTTACCCTAACTTTTCATCATGGAGAGCACCGATCCTATTTATAAAGAAAAAAATAGGACAATATAATTGTACATAAATTATAGAGAGTTGAATAAAGTGACTATTAAGAATAAATATATATTTTCCAGAATTAATAACTTGTTTGATCAATTCAAAGGTGCATAAGTGTTTTTCAAAATTGATCCGAGAGGAGGGTATCATCAATTGAAAATCAAGGAGGATATTTCCAATGTCGCTTTCAAGATTAGATAGGAGCACTTTAAATTTCTAATGATGTCATTTGACCAAACAAATATATCAGCTATCTATATGGACTTAATAAACAGGATATTCAATGAGTATCTAACCATATTTATGATTATTTTTATTAGACATTTTGATATATTCACACTTTACGAAGGAATATACAAAACATTTAAAAATAACCTTGAATATATTAAAAAATAATTATATATAAGGTCTAAGAAGTGTGAATTTTGATTAGAGAAGCTAATATTCCTTATGCATAATGTAACCATGGAAGAGATCTAAGTAGATTCAATTAAGGTGGAAGCATTTAGTAACTAGCCCCGACCAACTATTGTAATAGGGGTAACAAGTTTTCTTGGGATGATAAGTTATTATAGATATATTGTAAAAGGATTTTCCAAGATAATATTGTTGAATCTCGTATTTTGATGATGAAACCACTTGATATGTGTTTATGATTTGATCTGCGTTTTGAGTGACGTAGGATGCTTCGATCAGGATGAGACAATTAAAGCAAGAGGAATTGACATTGCGCCGAAGGAGATCACGTCAGGATATTGGACAGCAGAACGCTTCGGACGTCGGGCATCGGGCCAAGGAGAGCGAAATTACGCCAAGGATATCGGGGTTGCGGAGGTCAACCGTCGATTCGGCAACAAGCCGTAAGAGTGGACGATGTGCTGAAGAATCGGACGAAGCGCCAACCAATGACGTGCCGAGCAACATAATGTCAATTCGCGTTGTAATAATTATCTAGATCGGAGTAGAGTTTTGACTTGTGTGTGCAGGATTAACTACGATAACGACGAAGACATAAAGCGAAACAAAGTGTCAGAGTCAAGCGCGAAGGATTCTTTGCGAGTTCAAGAGTTCGATGGAAGTCCCAAGATTCATCGGGAATGCTACCGGAACTAGTCGAGAATGAGTAGGGAGCTTGCCGAAGGGTTTTTTGGAAGCTCATCGGAAAGTTCGTTGGAAGTTCGCGGAACTCATCGAGAAAGATCGGAGCTTGCCGAAGAAGCTCGTTGGAACTCGCCAAGATCAAATTGTGAAGTCTAAGAGCTTGCTGGGAGTCCGCAGAATGGTTTCCGAGAGTTTATCGGAAGACCGTCGAAAGTTCGCCGGAAGCTCGCCGGAAGAAGTCTTGACTTGCGGACTTTGTAATAGCTTAGGAAATATCTTTAAATTCGTAGTTAGCATGTTAATTAGGGTTAGGATTAGGTGTTAATCCTATAACCCAAGTAGGGGCTAATTGGGCCCGAGTTCGGACTGGTTTGGGCCAAGTTTGGAGCCCAACAAGTGAGCTGAAATAGTGTAGGCGGTGGCACCACCAGATTAGGCGGTGGCATTGCCTAGAACCCGAGAACCAAGCGATGGCACCGCTGGACTGAACGGTGGCACCGCCCAGCACCCGAGAGGTCTGGCGGTGGCACCGCCAGTACACTGTCAGTGTCCGACACTGACAGGCGGTGGCACCGCTAGCCTCGGAAACCCAAAAGAATTCAAAATTTGGAGCCCAAATTTGAATTCTCTTGGGGCCTATAAATACTCCTCAATTCTCAGCTGAGATTACAACCTTTGAGAAGCAAGAGATTGAGATAAAAGTCTTAGCAAAGCCTTTAGCAAGTTTTTGGTTTCAATAGCTTGAGTGTTCACCTTCCTCTTTCTCTTTAAAAATTTGTAAGAGTCTGAACCACTTGTAAAAGGTTGTAAGAGGGGTATTTGTCTTTTCCCTTCAAAGTGATTTGCTAGTGGAAGTTGGGAGCCTCTTCGAAGAAAGCTTTGCAAGTGGATGTAGGTCATTTTGACCGAACCACTTTAAATTGGTGCGTTCCTTGAATGTGTGAGTATTTACCTTCCTGAAATTGTCATCTACACTATTGCTAGCTTTCGGATTTTATTTTCTCATTTTACTCAAGTTACTGTCAAAACGAAATCTCCTCGTATTTACGAATTTGTTTTCAAACTTACGAGTTTTAATCCGCTGCACTAATTCACCCCCCCCCCTCTTAGTGCCGCTCCAATCCTAACAAATATCACATCTCACTAATTAACTAAAAAAATTAAATTTAAATGAATTGAGGCATGTGAAAATAATTTTTAAGAACTAAAAGGAGATTGATTTCATCTTCAATTCTTGTTGTACAAAACAAATAACATTAGATCTCACCTAATTGATTTCAGATTCATTTGTGATGTATAGTGATATATTTAAAAATAATCTAAGATGTGTTTGATATAAAAGGATAAAGTTATAGCTTATATATCAAAATAATTAAAACATCATGAGCATAATTTAGAGTTGATAACGATGGTGTTTGTCTTAAAAATTTAGTGATATTATCTTTATATGGAGAAATATAAAATATATACTGATTATAAAAGTTTGAAATATTTATTTTCTCAAAAGAAGTTGAATATGGGATATAGGAGATAACTGAAGTTGGCAAAAGATTAGAATTATATGATGAATTATCATCGTAGGAAAGCGAATGTATTTGCTGATACATTGAGTAGAAAATCAGTAAATTTAGCTACTTTATCAATGGTTCAATGACTTCTCAATATAAAAATGTACAAATTTGAATATGAGATAATCCTTAAAAGTTTAATTAAGAGAATATCGTACCCAACCCTTTTCAGGAAAATTAAAGAGCTATAGGTCAGAGACCCTTATTTGAATCGATTGAAGCATAAAGGTAGCAAAGGGAAAAGATTTTTACATTAATGAAGATTTAATCAGATTTTATGGTAGATTATGTGTACTAGAGAAGCTTGACATAAAGCAAAAATCTTTAACAGAGGCACACTCTGTAGCGAAATCCAAGAGAGGCACCACATGTGCAGCGGAAGAATAGAAAATAAAATCCCCAAATTTTCTAAATAAGTGTTTGTCGTCATGGGAATATTGGTGCGCAAAATCTACAAAACTGAAAAACTATGCATGAGATAGTTGTATTACCTAGGGAGATCGCATATCTATAAATCTCTATAGATCAGTAAGAGAGGACGAAAGAGTTCAAGCATCCTTCTCTCTAGTGGTGATCAACACAGTAGGGCTGTGACAACTCTCCTCTTTGAGAAGGAGGAGAGAGGAGAATAGAAGGTGATAACCAAGAAAACCTCTAACCTATGAGTGTTTGGTTTCCTCCTATTTATAGAGACTCGTTGTCAACTTAACCCTAATGAATCCTGCCATATTGGGTATTGGATCTTCATTCAACTACCCAAGCCTCTTAGATTAGTGAATCTCTATCCAATGATCTTTTATTAGCTCTTATTATATCTCATTCATAGGATCCAATAATTTAGGAGCTTATTGGATATCTAATAAGATAGAGGGTTCGACATATATCTATATCAGAACCTTTACTCGTCTCAACGGCTACCATATGTATGTGACCCTCTAGGCCCAATATCGAGCTGGCCGTGAATCATACATATCAGAACTCCTTGTGGCTCAGTGAATTATTATCTCCATAATAATTCACTTGACTTATTGACTACGGACGTACAAGGCCACTACGCCGCAGTCCCCAAACGATATAGGGGAATATAATCCTTTGGACATATCTGTCCTTAGTTATCATGTATTTATAGTTCCTTATCCATCTAATACCCTAGAGACTGTATACCGGTCATGGTACTATCAGACTTATATAGTTTCTACTCAAGTCTCGCTCTAATCGGATTCTCCCGGAGAACTCTTTCTCTCTCAATCCGAATGACCCTAGCTAGGGATTTGTCTGAGCAAAAACACATGAGATCTTTCTCTCATGATACCGAGAGTAAATGATCATCTATAGATGCTTAATAGCCCTCGTAAGGTTAGCTACCACTTCTGATGACCGATTGTACTAGATATGGAACCTCCAGACCTATAAGTCTGGTATCAAAGAGTGAAGTACTCATATATGACATCCTTGGTGTCTCAAGTCTAAAGACCAGATACACCACTAGGATGACGGAATCAATATTGGAGAATAAGGCATCATCAACCATTTAGTATTCCGTGAGCGGATCAATCAATGAACTCATTCTCCAATGAGCACCTGCATTGAATCCCTAGTGTCCCCACACGAGCAGCTATGAGACCAACTACATCCATCATATGGATGAGTATACAGCATACCAGTCTGTATTGTTATCTTAATGACATTTTCGAGTAACCTATGATTGAGATTATTTAGGATTTGTATTTAAAGACGAATCGATCTCACACAATCTGATTCTCATTACCCAAATATATGGACATCACAATATATGCACGCAATATACAATATAAAATAATAAAATATCAAATAATAAGCAAAAAGACTACGCGTCAAGTCATATATGTTGATTGGCTTGCAGGGCATCTATGACTAGCACACTCATCTCTATACTTAGTGCACTATAGAACAACCAAAATATACAAAGATAAAAGAGTATTACTGGTGGACAAGAATGAAAAGAAATAATATAATTTGTTGAGAGTATCTCATATATCAATAAATAAAAATATAATATCAGAAGCCACAAGTACCTTGAGACCATTATAAATACCCGAATTGAAATGGAAAGATCTCAACATAGATTTTATCATGGGTTTGCCTAACACCAGGGACATAATGAAATTTGGGTCATTTGTGGATAGAATGACTAAGATAGTCTACTTTCTACTCATTTGTGCTAACTATATCATGGATCAATATGTTTAATTATATATCCAAGAGATAATTAGACTTCATGGTATGATAATATCTATTATGTTAGATAAAGACTCCATATTCACATCAAGATTTTAGAGGAGTCTACATAAGGCATTATGGATAAAATTAGCTTTTAGCATGATTTTTCATCCTTAGATAAATAGTCAATAAAAAAAAATCATTCAGATATTAGATATTAGAGGATATACCAAAAGCTTATGTCTGACACTTCAAGGAATCGGAATCATAGAACAAATATATACTTTTGATAGAATTTATCTATAATAATAATTACTAGCGAACGATTAATATGACATCATTTGAAGCATTATATAAGTGAAAATCATTGATTAAATTAGTGATATAATCGATCGACTAACTTTATGCATAATATATTTTATATATCAATAGTGAGAAAGTATATTTCATATATTCTCATGTAATAACCAATAGAATTGGATAAAATTTGATGTACGCGAAACGAGTTGTACACAGAGAAAATTTTTTACAAAATATAATCTAAGTAACATAGGAAGTAACTTAGGAAGAGATACAATAGAAATATATAAAGCTATTCAAATAAAAGATTTTGATGATAAAATTTTTATTTAGATACGAGGATTATAATACCCAAGTCAATAATGCTCTCACTTAATGAAAGTATACTTCATAAATATATTATTATCACTTAGTGATATGATTAATAATATCTATGTTTCATAAATATGATAAATGATATATTTATATTTTTAACTTTTAAAATTAAATTATATATATTTTAAAAATATTTTTCTCATTATTCTATGAAATATAGATTGAACAATACATAAACATTAATGTATTCTTTAAATATAGTATAATAAGTCAAAGTATACTAATAGACTTGAATATATGACTAAATTATGATAATAAACATATATAATAACTAAAAGTAATAATTAAATTATAATTAACCTTAAATAAATCTCTAAATAAGGTTTACGAGGGATAAAAAAATTAATTAATTTTTTTCATATAGAGGAGAATTAATTAATTTCCAATTAACCTCCCTCCAATACAAATTAAATATCAAGCAACTTGAAATCAATCACTCATGAAAAGGAGGGAACGTCGATTTCATACTGAGAGCATAAATACAACATTCTTTCTTCTCCTGATTTATCATGATCGATACAGGAAATTGCTGCCACAATTTCTCAACATTGTGAAGTCGATATTGTCTCCACCCAGATATATGGATGATGGAACTCTCACAGTTACATTACCATATCAACAACTCTGAGAATTTTGGTGAGCAGAACATACCTCGGAGAAGTGACTGATTACTTATCTAGTTGGTGCACTGAAACAGAACAAATACCTTGCAATGCTAGGCATCTTACACGACCAAGGTTCCAAAGAACAAAAATCGGTAAAACTGAGCAGCAAACAAGATTCAACAACTGAAGAGGACTTGTGATTCTTCAGCATGCTATCATTCCATTGAGCCTCTATGTCAACCAGAAAGAAGAGAAATGCTTTGGCACTCTGTGCTTCTAAAAAAAAAATTGGCAAGTGCCATCATTATCTTCCAAGAGATTCAAAAGATCACATTATTGACCGATTGAGGCCTCTTCAACAACAGGATATGCAAAACTGATACCTGTTACATCAGTTTTCAAGATATCATGACACTGACCTTTCTAGCAAAGTCATCTTCGTCGTCAAACTCATCTTCGTCACCCTGAAATGTGTTTTCGTCACCATGACCAAAGTCCTCATCCCTCTGATTATAGTTTTCCAGTTCATCTTCTACGTTCTCTTCGATTTCCACATCATCAGCTTTGGCTGAAGACTGACCTTCATTAGTTAGGTTCTCATCATCATCTGCTCTAAACTTGTGCCTTTTATGGTTGTCAATTGTATAATTTGTTTCTTTTTCAGCATCTAATGGAGTAACAGATTGCAAACTTGGTGCTACAAGCTCAGAATCATTGACAGCAGGTTCCCCACCACCTTGAATGTTTTCATGCTGACCAGTAGAAATTTCACTGTCTGTGTATGCCAACTCCCTTTTCCCGTTCAGGATGTCACTCAGTGGCTTTGGACCTTCAAACGATAAACAATCTTCTGATTCCTCCAGTCTTCACTCTGTTCAGATTGGTATTAGCAATGATACTTATGATTGAACGCTCATAGGAGTGTCCATTAATCCTTGCACCTTTCATCTCTGCAATAGATTTTGGACCAGCAAAATCTGGAGAGTTTGTGTCATCTCCTATAGTTGGTTTATTCCTAATACTCTTTGTGGCTGTGTCTTTGCTGAAATCCTCACTTAGTTGCTGTTTTATTCTCCCAGGACGTTTTGTCTGGTGGTTCATTCGCCTCACTGGTGAGTGTGTGCCTCGAGGTCTCCTGCCTCTCTCTTTCTCCAAGTTCAAATTGCTAGCTATATCTACTGAAGACCGCCCAGGAAATGTTATCCTACCTTGTAGACGAATGCTTATTGATTTCTCTGGAGAAAATTGCCTTTGATCTCGGGAATGTCGACCATAATCTCTCTTCTCAGCATCCAAGTCGTCCCTCTGGTAGTAGTCACCATGACCATCAAAACCACCAGTAGACCTTGAACCATTAAGTTTTCGTTTTTTAAGTAGCTGATGGCACAAATCTGAGTAATCCATCCCACCAAGTATTGTCTCGTTGTCAAGCACCCTTCGGATCCCAACCATATCTACCTTGTGTTTGCTCATAATTGTCATATTTGTCTATCCCATTACATGGATCCCTTTCAATTCTGGTCATAGGTTCGTAATCCCTATGGCGCTCATTTTCAGGTTCCAGGTGCTGTCCACTATGAGCTGACACCCTTCCAAAATTATCTTCATTGTGAAAGAAATCCGGATCCTCGATATCATCTTCCACTAGTACATCAAAACCAGGGGAGTATTCATGCAATAACTCATCAGTATCCCTGCCAACCACGGGTTGCTCATCTAAAGGCTGTAACTGATGATTCACAGAACAGGCACCGCTAGTGGGAACAAAATTATGTGGATTATGTGGCAGTGCAGGAGGTTCACCATTCAATGAATTAGGTGGAAGCACTTTATGATCTAATAAGTCATCTTCAGAAGCATTCTTGTCTTTGATGACTACCTTAACAGGTGGCATTATAACTGGCATTTCACCGGTTGCCTTTGGTTTATCACGATTAAGTTTGACAGCATTCTGCTGCATATTGATGTTCTGCTGTGTATCCTTAATGGTTGCTGGTGGTTCAGCAAGACATGTAGAAGCTTTTGCAACCTGCTGCAAGACAGAATTGCTAAATTCATGTGGCCCGTGAATAAAAGGACACCATTCACCTTTCAAACACTGCCCCCTTTGGAAATAGTAGCAGGGAGAACTTTTCTTATTGATATTATTACTAAGAGGCGCACATGCAGCTGGGATTTGTGTTGTTGGTGCAGTTTGAAGAAGTTGAAGTGGTCCTGAGGAAGGCATCGGTGTTGCAAACCAGGAATCAAGTGGCTGAAAAAGAACAAAAATGAGCTTCACATGCAACATGGTAGTAATTGAAAACAAAGGCTAAAGGAATTCAGTGAATGTGCCTTTTTAATAACCATGTGATGTTCATTTTGGAACAAGGTTAGCACAAAACTTTCATGTCCCAAATGATATTTCATATTCATCACATGACATTCATCATGTGATGCTTGCAGGTCCTAACTCATGTCGATGTCCAAAATGGAGTGTCATCTCCACACTAACATGATGCAAAATCTCCTTTTAGAGAATGCCTGAACTCATGCACATATATACTACATAAACAAGAAAATGAGAAGAGACTTACCGGATGGCGGAATGAACATTTTGGATTGAGGCAGTTCCGTTTTAACCAATACCAGCAATCCCTTGGGTTCATTCTGGCTCCCTGATTGTGCCGATACTCACAGTCACTCCCCTGAATGACCAAAGCTCAGTTACATTTTAGACCAAAATGTGTATCAAAACAAAATGATGCACAAAACTAGCCGATAACACAAGCCTGTTCACATGTAGTTCCACTTGTAAAAAAAAATCTCTATAGATACAATTGCAGACAATAATGAACGAAGAGAAATAAAAGGGCACAACAGGAAAAATATAGAGATACATAGACGGCAGGATAAGAGATCATATCTGCCACATTGTAAGTAGCATATAAGCATCACCTAAAACTGGGTGACTATTACTTTTAATTAAATTTTTAGTCACGCAAGGAACATATGCAGCATAGTAGTAACTTCTCCAATCTGAAAACTTAATACAATATATGCAAAAATAGTAGTAGCCTGTGTCACATGGGCAAGCATAATAACAAAACTGGTTCATCAAGACCAAGCTTTCCTTTTTCCAAACCGATGGCGTTACCCCCAAAAGACCACACAATAGAATACCATGAACGACCAAACTTAACTTTCAGCAACCATCCCCAGCTTCATGTTTCCACACCACCCAAAAAATTCTAGGGTTTCACCAAGCGCCGACAAGTGCTCATGGGAAACACCAACGGAGGATATACACATCAGTCCTGGAGACCGAACTCATGCGGTAGAAGCGGAAAGTTGGCAACGCTTCCAGCTAGAAGAAAACCAGAGAGAGAAGGAAAGATACCTTCTTGCAGGTCAAAGGTGATGCCAAGAAATAGACGCGGTCGGTGTTCCTCTTCGACGCCTCCTCCTCCGCCGTCGCCGGTCGGATCGCTTCACTCCCGCAGTCAGACGCCATCCCCCTACCCTCTAACACCCTCCCGGCAAAAACGAAGTGGTTGCCACCATTTCCCGACGGTGAAAGATAACTCCGAAGCTTAGGGCAGAGGGGAGAGAGAGAGAGAGAGAGAGAGATCTAAGGAACGATCGGAAGCAGATATCTGGAGGAGAGATTCAGAAGAAAGCAGAGACTTGGGCCCAGCAGGGTTGCGATCGATCGTTTTGGTGCCATCGGCGGCGAATCAGCGAGCCCTGTCGCGTCCTCAGCCTTTTTTATCATCTCCTTCCGACTGCAACGACGACAAAAAGTGTCGTCTCTCCCCAGCTTCATTGAAGCTGGTGATTTCACCAAGAAAGCCTCGGGATATGGATGACATTACGGAAAAGCCACTCATGTTGTCTGCGACCTATAGAGGAAATTATTATTATTATTATTATTATTATTATTATTATTATTATTATTATTATTATTATTATTATTATTATTATTACCCGTAGTATTAAGCGGATTTAAGCATTGTATTTGGTTGCCGGTGGATTACCTAGAAAAGCTTTTTCTTTTCCCCTTCTTTTTCTACTGGGATCTCTTTTTTTTCTTTTCTAAGAAAACTTTTGGCTTTTGCGAGAGATTCCCAAAAAATATTTTATTATTCAATGTGTAAATATAATCATGCTGGATTTAAATAATTACTTGTCTTTACCTATAGCCAAATTACTTATCCTCAAACTACATTTGTTCATGTTGTTCTAAAACCAAAATAAATATTTTAAAATGAAACAATATTAAAATGGGTGATTTCCTAGGAAATATCCCAAGTTTGTGGGCTTTTCCCACATGGTGATCCCCTAATGGGCCCCTTCCTGTTGGTCAACCAAGCAACTATTTTCCCACCAAAATAGAGAGGTTGTAATATGAACCAGTTTAGTGTTAGACCAAATTGATTCTAGTTTTTTCTTTTTTTTTTGAGAAAAAGTTATTAGTATTCCTGAATGGAGCTCTAATGTTTTAATTCAGTAAGAAAATTTACCATAACCAAATCCCTACCAACCATAAATAGTCACTCTTGTCATACATTTTGGGGTTTCAAAAAATGATCTATTTCAAAATTCTTTTGGATGAAAATTAAGATTAGTTTGACATAATCCAAATCAAAGAATGATATATCTATCTTCATTCTTCACTTCATTTTAAGCTTAGGTCTATGTATTTTAAAATTCATTTCATATAAAAATTATGATAAAAAAAGTGAGACGCGATACCTGGTCGTGCACTTACTGCGGTTCAACACCGAAACCAGCCTTGGATTGCTTCAAATCCTCATCCATTTTATTATATCGTTTTTATTATATTCGTCTACAAGGTAGGATAACACACATTCTCTTCTATCATCCTCTTTCACTATATCGTTTAGAAAAAATCATAACATTCTTAATCCATTTTTATATTTTTAACACAATAAACAACTCTAAAACATGAAATCTGATTAATTGGCCCACTGATCCAGTGGTCCAAGATTTGACCAGACTGACGGAATGAATATTATTCTCTTATAGGCTCTGGGTTTGGGCTCCTCCACTATACGAATCAATTCTACCAAGTGCATATCCTGAAGGCAGAAACAAGCTGCTGCAACTGTTTCCACATCCTCTCATCTAGCCAGTATAACTTCAAACACAACCTGATCCGTCGCAGCCCAACATTACCACCCTAATCAGCCGTAGGTTCAAATTTTTTCCCCACCCATGTCATTCTACTGGTTTAAAACGAAGTAGTTCATATCATACTCCGATATAATGACTTCCAAGATCAAGAAGAATAAAGCATAACAAACAACTCGTATTTATTGATGGGATCACAACCATCATGAATTTCTGATGTGCTGTGCATACCTTGGTTCGGTTTTGGGACCCCATGTTATCGTTGACCTGTATTAGAAAAAGAGAGCAGCACGGAGGCAATACATACTAATGCCAAAACTCAACTGACAGCATATAATAATGCAACCAAAACAAATTAGTCTTCAAGCAGGATTTTGTGAGCTAGATTATATAAAGAGTGAGTATATTCAAGATTAGTTGTGTGTCAAATGTAGAAAATATCATGCAGAAATATTGTTTCCTATCAGCAGGGTTTGGTCATACCAAGTCAATACCATGCTTCATATGGAACTCAGGAGGGCTTCCAAATTTCCTCCTAATAGCAGGTCCTGGACTACTAATGCTCATGTTTACTTACTGGAGCTAATAAATTTTAGCAGGTGATGAACAAGAACTGTTGTTCAAAGCTAGTAGAACCTTTCATGGGCTACATGTTTACAGCACCCTATTTATGTACAAAAAGCACATACTTTGCCTGCATAGCTTCCACAAGCCATGTAGATAAGAGACAAGTTCCCCATCTCCTATAGCCCACCCTCTTCTTTTACTCTTTTTACCTATGGCCAACATTTTAAAGGTAAATAGCATTTCAGTCATACAGTCAGAGCTGATGATCATTTTAGGAGACTTACTGTCATGCAGGGTCTTTACTATCCAGACAAAACAGCGAGCAATTCTGGAATTCGTCGAGGCTGTTGGCTAGCAAGCGACTCAGGCTACTGAGGCTCAGACTGTCGCTAAAAATTAGATCTTGCCCCTGAAATTTAGAGGGAGGCATATCCAAGTCCAGTGGCCCTAAAGAATCTGACTGCAAATCAAGGAAAAAAAGAACATGTAAATTAGAAAGTGATCTCAAAAAAGCCGACAAGTAAATGCTGGCAAAAAATAGATACCCAATAGATATCTGCAAGACAGGGATCCTTCTCATGATTAGAACCATCACTGGAAATACGATCTTTACAAGTCTCAACTTCAGACTTGTCACAACGAGGATCATCTTTGGATCTCTGTTCACCAAAATCCTACCAACAGAAGGAATTGCAACTTATGCTAATGTTTCAACAACAATTTTTTTATCTTCAAAACGAGTATAACATAGTTGCACATGACAAACCTTAAGAAAATTCTGAATTCCTGGTGAACTTTTAGAAGAAAACTGTTCATCACCATCTGTACAAGTGCTACTTGCAGGTTTCAATCTCTCCTGTGCCTGAGCCGAAAGCATTTGAAAAGAAAATTCATCACAAGTTTCTTCTGCATCCCAGATAGATGGTTGTGATGCCTTATCCGAAAGGGATGACAAATGATGACCAGACATATGGGCAGCAATAGCTGCATCAAACGAATCACAGCTAAATGAGGCCTGTTTAAGACATGAAACAGATGGTTGATTGGGGAAATTCATATGTTTTGAGTTAGCAGCTTTAGATGCCTCATTCAACAAATCTCCAACACTAATGTTGGTGAGACTATCAGCCCATTCTCCAGCAGACATCAGGACACAAATTTCTTCTGTATTAACCTGTAACACAGACAATTGAACATTTTAATGATTAACTGAACAAGTGGCTGAAAGCAGGCTAGATAACATTGAATCCAAGGGAAATTTTAGTACCACATCCTTGTTTTTCCAACTACTTTGAGCTCTGGCTTTTTCACCATAGGATGGTTGTAAAGGCTCAGGAAATCTCTCCTCACATTGTACGCAATCCGCCTCAGGAGGTTCAGGGAGATCAACAACTGAAGTTGCAAGATCTTTTACTGAGACTGCTTGATTTTCTGAACATTCCAGAGGTTGTTTCAAGATGTAACTTGTGGAGAATCAAAATCTATGGTAAGGAAAATGCGTAATGATATTACCATTCTCAGTGTCTTCTGAATGCAAACAGTCATCAGGACAAAGAGTTGTATGAGAAACTTCAATACCCTCAGACCCAGCTTCTGCAGTGGAGAACCAGCCATACCTTGACACAGGATATCAGTCAGAAACATACTAACACAATTTAATCAAGTTCTGATTCTGAGTGTTCTTTTATGCTTGTTTTGTACCTTAAACGAAAAATGGCAGGACTGCCAACAGTAGCATATACATCTGCGGCACTAACAACAGTATCTTTTGATGTCCACCTTTTGGAACTTGCCGAGTCTTCCTGCTTAACAGAGAAGGGAAAAAGCATGATTTCTCCAACTGCTACGCTTGAGTCACCCCATTTCCGATTGAGATGTTCCACCACTGATGATATCCTTTTCCGACCGCTTAAGGTGAGCTCCAAATGTGGATTGTGCCCATCCTAGGTAAAAGTGAAGACAATGAGCTTAATTGTTTTCTTGTTTGACTGAGGTAATATGAGTACAAATAAACATGCTAAATACATCGTGTCATGCTTTGGTTGAAGGATTCGATAGAGTAAGATTGACCTCAGTGGCTCGATCACACACATACACAAAACACCCACCCACTCAATTCCTCCATTAACAAGAACTACTGCCTATCCGAAGTGTGATAAAAAAATTTAAGGTTAAATTTCAAAGCCATTACTAGTAGAGAGAGACCTCAGAACATTAATATACCTTTTCCAGTACATTTAGAGTCTGTTCATCAACAGGAAACAATTGCAACTTCAATTTTAAAGATGGTTCTATGATTGCTTTGGCCATCTCAGTTGAGCAAATTCCTACAAGAACCAGAGCATTCAAACATATCTGATTCATTCAACTTGGATAAGCATATGCTAAAGCATCGTCAAATAATGTCTCAAGTAAAACATCAGTCAATCACAGGCCTTACCAGTATTGGTGCATATCTTGTTTGCTAACACATGATAGGTTTCTTCACTATAAGAAAAACTTATATTATTGGTTGCTCGTTCCAATTCTTCAGCAGCATCAGCAACTAAAGAAACACCTGCAATTGCAGCCTTCTCCCATCTCTTATATTCAGCAGATGCAACAACACCTGATAGACAAACAATAAAAAATGATGTAAAACACCATTCTAAATTGAGAACCTAGTCATTATAACAAAACATGGAATAAGCTAGGTCATGCAAAAGAACATTGAAGGAAGAGACTCAGAAGTTATTTCACTATATGTTATACCAAACATGAACATGCATAAATTACCTGGCCTTCGTTTTGGCCTCAGAGGTCTCATACTAGACAAGTCCCTCCTGCAATTCATGTTTGAAAACATATCGTTCTTGTGGAAGGTCCCTCTAGAAGCTGTTGATTTGTTAGTACTTGGAGATTCAACAGTTAGTAGTTTTACTGGATAAATGTCATTTCCTGGACCCTTACTGAGAATGGTTGTTGAAGTAGGAGAATACATATCTTCAGGAAGTCGTTTTCTTCTAGTCTTGTTTCGGTCCTTTAAAAGTTGATTTTCCTACAAAGCAAAGTGACAACATAAATTTTAACAAATTATCTGCTTATCATCAAATTAAACCAAAAAGGGAGAAACTTAAATCTGAAGGAAAATGCTTAGGAAATATGC